TATTTGCAGCGAAATTAAACGCAGGTTGCCACATAGCTAACAACAGATGCACGTATACTTTGGAAATGCCCTTTTCCAAGCCGATACAACATAAAGCAAACTCGCTGTTGTCCCATGAAGGATCGAACTTGCAATGCACAGAGTCACGGAACGTTTGGTGTTGAAGACCGTCACCGGCCCGGCAACAAATCACTTCACGCTGTAAAGCCACACGCTGTTCTTGCAACCCACAGAGAGCACGTGAATGACACATTGCCATTGAGCCGAATATATAAGCGGCAACATAAGAATCCGCACCTCACTTTACATCTTCAAAATACGGCGTCATAGTTACAAATGCCTTAAATAGGTGAAGGAAGGCATACAATTAGAGGTGACGACGCCTTCCTATTATCGCCTCGCCCGTTCACAGCCCTTCCAAACGGAGTCAACTGGAATACAACAAGGTATCTGTAACTAAAACCTGACGACACCAGATGCCAACCCTATTTTATTTGATATACTCGGTGAGAACGACATGGCAAAGTCCAAGTTCCTAAGTCATACGGTGCACAAACGAGCACGTGTAAGCACGCCCCTCCCTGTTGCTTCGAAAAACAACACTGTGAGGCAGCATCCTCTGCACGGCGAAATCCTACTGCCTACAAAACGACATCTCCCAAAGTGCATCTATGTTACCCTGTTTTCATGCTTTCTTTTGTGTGGTCATATACCCTGTAAAATTGACGGAAACTGCTGACTCCGGTCCTGAGGCCTTACAGGCCATTCTGACGGTCAGGAATAACTTACAGAACAGCTATCTTTGTCCGTATTGTCGGCGTTTTCGGATAGTTTTCTCTTTTCCATGCCGAGGTTGCTGTGTTTCGACCTGCTTAAGTAGCTGTAGCACTGAACAACTGCAAAGCTCACGGCGAGCACAACCATCAGGGCTGAAAGCGCCAGTATCTGAGAAATATGGCGCGGATGTCTGTCAAAGGATCCCAAGACGGCCTCATGCCTGACAGGCACATCATTTTCAAGGAAGGATGCTTCAGAAGTGACCCCAAAAACGCCTTCTGCTCCGTCAGCGCCGTTCAGTGCGACCACTGCGAGTGAAGTAGAAATGATTACAAATCGTGGCATACGGGACATTTTCAGAAAGAATGCATGCTGTGGGGAAAATGGATTCATGTTTTGATTGGGAAACGAGACACAGAAGACCCAAGTGAGTAGTTTTCCCGAGTCTCTGGACTGGTTGACAAGGATTGCGAAACGAAGTGCGGCTTATGTCAGAGGAGCCCGTTGAACTGGCAAATCGATAGCAGCAATCAATGCGCATAATTCTAGCCTTTAAAGCAATAAAAGCTTCAAACTAAAAAATCAAAAGTCTAACGAATTGTTGAGATACTTAGGGAGTCGGATTTTGTGGCTGTCGGCTTTTCGGGCTGCTGGCATGTTGACACTGTAATTTTACGTTGATGCTCGCCTAGCGTGCTGACCATGAGCCCCTTTCCTGAAACCAGGTGACAAAATTCCCAGAAAACTAAAAATAGAATGATACCTGGAAGGTGATATGAAGATATTCAATGAATGAATCAGGTCGTGCAGCCGTTGACTGCTCCGTTGTACGCGGGGTCTGGTGGATGTCCCACTCCGGTATTGCACATTGAATAGAATCTGTAAGGCGCTTTTATCCTTCTACAAAATGCAATCAATATCAAATCTCCTTTCTACAAGATTTGTAGAACCATAGCCGCGTCATCGGGTGGCTTCACCGCTGCCGCGAAACTACAGCGCGAACTGGTGCCAAGCAACGATATTTCAGATGCATTCACTGTAGGAGAACGGCGCCTAAATGGGCCCAGCTTGAGTTTAAGCTCTAGATGTATTATTTTATTTGAGTCATGCAATTCTATCAGTAATTTGGCGAGATTATTGACCGCTTTTGCTCCTGAAATCTGCAGATAAGCGCCGGCTGGGTTCACGAGAGCTGTGAAAATCAGTGCCTGAGAGACCCTGTTGAGCAAGAACTGTTTCTTTTGAATTCAAAATCTGATGGGCTCGATCGGCCAATTCTGTGGGACGCGCACACCAGGCAGCTCAGTGTTGAGACCCAATTCTGTCGATGACACTGACCGGCTGCTCACATTCTTCGCACTCCACTGGGTTCGACGTTTTTGAAATAACGCTCCGTTAGGGCTTGGAGCCATACGCAAAGAATAATAAAAAGAAAAGGTATATTTTGGCAGCTCTTCTGTGTCATTGAAGGATCTGTATGGGGTTTTGAATTTCGTCCTCGGCAGCAACGACTGAATGATGGGATGGATTCGGGGAAGCGCTGTGAATGTCCACAGCTCATTGCCCTTTCATCTGGGAAAGGGCATGAAAAAGCAATAAAATGTGTCGAGCTGATTTATTTATTTGTTAAAGAAGACAAACGGACCCTGTTAAAGCATGCAATAGCTACTGCTGATCGACCTCGTAGGCTGGAGACGTGTTGGCAATGACTCTGGGACAGCATGCACCTCAAAACGCGTCATTTTTCCCCGCATCCCATCTATCTCACACAACCTTTCAAGACAGTCTGCAGAATTGCATTCTTTTGCAGGGTTTGTTGCCCGAGCGCACGTTGCGGCTTCAGCTATTGAATTCACAGGGCAAGCGAGCATTCCACGTGCAGTCCGGACCGTTGAACTTCGTTTGACGACTCCTTCAGCCACGGCTCGCACAGCTGCATTTTCTATTAAAGTCTTACCAAAGGAAGCTAATGTGTCGGAAACGCACCGGCAAAAGCACTTCCTCCAGCAAGAGCAGCTGCAGCAGGTGGTTGTTGGCACCTTGATGCACAGCATCGCCTATTCTGAGCTGCAGTACCCACGCCATACTTAACCCCTACTGCGGCTCTGAAGAACAGCAGGTGTAACATGCACAAAAACATCTCTACTATTTTGTTCACTACACCTTGAGCTACCTACAGTTATTCAGATGCGCCTTGAGATAGGAAACAAGCAACTGAACTCGTGGCCTCTGTGCCAGCTCTCGAACGAAACTCAGTAGACAGAACCACCCATTCGCTGCAGATATTTCTATTTACTTTCCGCGCAAAATACGCAGGAGTGAAGCTGTTTGGAGAATACTATATCGGCTTGAAAGTGCGATAGAGGGAGTTGGAAAATGCGGCTTTTAAGTGGCGCATGGATGACAGGACGGAACTGGAAAACGAAGGACCAACAATCAAGGAATCGGAGAAAAGCAAACACACTGATACGGATTGCTTCTCAGACATTTTCAACGAGCGGCATGAAGACTACTTTAGCTGCTCATAAGAGGGCAGGCAGTGCTTAAGAGAGAGAAAAGCTTCCTAGGCTCCACCTTGAAACACAGGACTCTAAAAGAATTACATGCCAAATGGAAGCACTTGAATGGGGACGTTGCTTCAGAGAGTTCTCTGGCATCACGTGCAGCGCGCAGATGAAAAGCATATACCTGCTAGACTCTTTGACATCGGCATAGAAGGCATTAAGCGCTTTCAAAAGAGGCCACTATTTTACAGTGATAAAGCTGAAGTGACGAAAACGCGCAACTATGCGAAGTTATGCAGGAAGTCAGAAAAGAACGCGAATGAAGCACTTCAAATATTGGCGTGCACTTCCTGTAGAACTGATCACTTCAGGAGTCACTTTAACTCTCCATGCAGCAAATGTTTCTCATTAATGAACAGCTCAGAAGGCTACCATGCTGCAAATCCACAATTTCATGCTTATTTCCATGGATGCAAAACATGGGCAAAAAGGATAGCGGATCTTTTTCCAGCTGCTCTTCGCTACGAGATTTCACATCCTTGTGGCAGCAAACAACTGCCCATGCAGCAGCATGAAATAACTCAAGGGAAATTCACCTCAACCATTAGTGAGGCTGTGCAGAGTGAATTATTAGCTTCAACAGTTGAGTTGGGCAGATCCGAAACAGAAATCCACCCAGGAAACTGCCAGTTGCTCTGTCTAAAATCCCGTATGAAACTTCGTTTCAACAACCTGAGGGTTGGGGGTTGTAACTAGAGCACCAACTGTGGCTTTGGCTGTGGGAAATGGCCGCCATCAAGCCGCACCTGAATCGATCAGCCTTTTGATGTTAGAAGATCCAATAAGGTTCCTCCCTGCTTCTGCACTAAAATGAAGAAACGGCTCCTACTAAAGCTCACTTCAGGTGAGCTGAATAAACCCCACAGCCACCTGAAGGTGATGTCCAGAGGATCAGTAGGGCTGAGCCCAGCAACGTTTGCGTGAGACTTTCTTCCAAAAGGAAAGCAAACAGCCATAGAACTATTTAGGTCGGGCAGCAACCCCCAAGCTACGTGAAAACCGCCTGAGGTTCGAGTTCTAAAGCCAGCCACAGTACGCGCTTTTCGCTCACACACTTGAATTCCTATGCTTCGTTCGAGGGCTGAAAATGTTGATCTCTCAAAGGTCCGTCAAGCCTATTCACTAGAGGGTATCAGCAAACCTGCTACATTCTAAAGTCTGAAGGCTGAATTCAAGAAACTTTATTTTCACAAGATGCAAGACTTCGCTGCAATCTTGCACCCGAGTTGTGAATTCACTCAATCTATTCATCTTTAGCTGCTGAAACTGCTGAAACGCGACTGCACATCCTCCTCAGTTCACACGCAGCTACACAAGTCCTAAATGCACTTTAAATCTTAACTCGAAGCCCCAAACCCCGAACTTACGCATCAGCCCAAACCTTGGTTTCTCAAGGAGCTCACAGGTGCATGCAAGCAGCAGCAACGTTTACCTGTGAGAAAGCAGCCGCAGAAGAAGCCGCTGCTGCTGCCGCTGCTTCTGCTGCTCCTGCTACTGCTGCTGCTACTCCTTTTGCTACCCACAAAACGGCATGCAAACACAGAAAAACTGTTAAGAAAAGTTGTGAAGACCCAGCCCATGCCCTAACAGCTCGAGGCAGCACTTAGGTCTGCTGCCTCTCCTGGGGGTCATAAGAAACGCAGCATCTGTTTATTCTTCTCAAAGAAAGCTGCTGAGCTTCTGAAAGGTCTCATTGTTGTCTCGCTGCAGAGCAGCAGCAGCAACAGCAGCAGCTGCCTCCCCTGCTTCTGCTGCTGCTGCTTGTGCGCTCGTCGGAGAGGTGACTGCTGCAGGCTTTAGCGCAGCCACGGTAGCGCCTGCAGCTTGCCTTGCTGCAGCAGCAGCAGCAACAGAAGCAGCATCAGCAGCACCAGCAGCACCACCAGCCTCCAGGAGTTCCCTTCCTGCTGCTTCGCCTGCTGCTGCTGTTGCTGCAGCTGCTGGCTCCGCATGCATTGGCAGCTGCTGCTGCGAACAATCCAATGAAAGCAAGTCAGGACCCTCCAGAGATGGCCGGAAATTTCCTGTCAGCAAATAAATAGCGCGCTGCCGCTCCGTGTCGAAAACTTTGTTGCTGACGTACCTGCAGGCAGCAGCAAACGGGAGGCGCAGCAGTGCAGCAGCCAAAAGAGCAGCAATAACAAAGGCAGCAGCAACAGAGCTACAGCAGCAGCAGTAGCAGCAGCAGCAGCAATGAACGCACCGCTGTACAGCATAAAGCGCGCTGGTTCTTGACTGAGCTATCCAGGGCCTTTCCTTCATTCCCTTGATCATTTTTTCCCAAACTGCTGCTGCTGCTTCGGCGCGCATGGCGGCCCCCTGCTGCTTCTGCTGCTGGTCTCGCTGCCCAGCAGCAGCAGCAGCAGCAGCAGCAGCACGAACTGGGCACTGCACAAACTCCGCTGCATGCAGCGCCGGAGAACCAGCATACTGGATGGAAATGTTGTCGCCAATGCCGCGCCAGAGGGCCCCCAAGACACTCACAACTGCTGCTTTTTCTTTGAAAGCTGGCAGCGAGACTGCAGCAGCAGCAAGAGCAGCAGAAGCAGCAGCTGCTGCTGTTGTGCATGTGACTGCGCCGGGCCGTTCTCCAGCAGCTGCTGCCAAGGGGAAACCATACGCTGGCAGCAGCTCATCGGCAGTCAGACGCGAGGCTGCTGCTTGTTGTGGGGACTCAGCAGCAGTAGCAGCAGCAGAGCCAGCAGCAGCAGGTGCTGCTGCTGCTGCTGCTGCTTCTCCACTTTGCTCGTAAATAGGCTGCTCAGGGCTTTGAACGTGTTCCTTCAGCTTCCCTGCTGCTGTGGCCCCTTGTGTTGCTGGGCCTGCCGGGGTGTTTGGCTGCTGCTGCTGCTGCTGCTGCTGCTGCTGCTGCTGCTCTGCGTCGAGCAGCAGCCAGGCGTGCTTGCGCTTTGCTGCTACGGTTTGCTGCAGCAGCAAACCTTCTGCTGCTGCCTTCAACACGTCTTGCTGGCTCTGCAGCAAGAAGCAGAAGTGAGGGCATGCAGCAGCAGGGCCGCAGAGCCCCAGAGCCTTCAGCTGTACGTACAGTGCAACAACTCCAAGACACACGTGCGCTATGTTCGTGCGGTCTAGACAGTCGATGCAGTTGAAGCGCACCACGCCCCGCTGCAGCAGCAACTGCTGCTGCTGCTGCTGCTGCTGCTGCTGCTGCTGGCGCTGGAACACGAAGAACCCCGTTTGCTGCAGCAGCTGGGAGCCCAAGACCGCCAACTCAGCAAAGGCTGCATCAAAGCCATCGGCCTCGCTGCGCGCATGCCAGTCCATCATGTGGTAGGTAACTTCGGGAAGTGCCTGCTGCTGCTGCTGCTGCTGCTGCTGCTGCTGCAGTTGCTGCTGCTTATTGCAGCTATACTCGTCAGCAGCAGAGCCGCGTGCCGCCGCTGCAGCAGGGCCTGGGGAGGTTCTGCTCGTGCTGCACGTTTCGGGCGTGCAGCAGTTGCTCTTGCTGCTGCTGCTGCCGCCGGCGCTGCTGCTGCTGCTGCTGCTGCTTGCAGCTGCAGCAGCGCTGGAGTGTACAGACACCTTGAATTCGTCCTTGCAGTGCAGCAAAGCTTCCCTGTAAGCGCGGCTTAATGTGCCCTCCACTGGGTGCTGCTGCCGGACAAGATCCAGCAGCAGCAGCGGCTGCTGGTAGCGCGTGAGCAGCCAGCGCAGGTGTCGCTTCAGGTGTACGTACACCTCAGCAGCAGGCAAGTCAATGCACGTCGTCGGAGATGGCATCAGAAATGAAAATAAAAGTCTTTTTGAAACACTTTCGTGTCTCCAAAACACTGGAATGGATCCCCTTAGAAACACAACAGCAGCGCAGCAAACGGAAAAGCGCCACTTCGAGCCCCGGGGAGCTGCTGCAGCAGCTGCTGCAGCTGCTGCTGCTGCTGAACTAGCTGCTGCTCCTTCGCCTGCGGACAAACAAGCGGAGCCCACGCCACATGAGCCGGCAGCTGTGGGGCTGAGTGTTGCTGCTGGCGCTGCTGCTGCTGCTGCTGCTGCTGCTGCTGCTTCTGACGCTGCTGCTGTAGTGCTAGGCAAGCCCAAGGATACAGTGTCCGCAGCAAGCGCTGCTGCTGCACTGGCTACTGCTGCTGCCTCAGCTGCTTCCGGCGCCGCAGCAGCCGCCGCTGTTGCTGCTGCTACTGCTGCTGCTGCTGTTGCTGCTGTTGCTGCTGTTGCTGCCGCCGGCACTGTGGCTTGCGGTGGCAGCACACGCCACAGCATCTGCTCGCACTCCACTTCGTTCGCAGCACCCAAACTGCTGCTGCTGTCTGCTGCTGCTGCTGCTGCTGCTGCTGCTGCTGCGTCAGTGGGCCTCTCCAGGCCTCGACTGTAGAAGCGGGTCCCAGCAGCAAAGCGAGACCGCCGCGCCAAGACAGACAAATGGAAAAACTGAGCACCTTTCAACTGCTGCTGCTGCTGTTGCTGCTGCTGTTGCTGCTGCTGCTGTTGCTGCTGCGAAGAGGGGATCATGATAGTTTGCTGCTGCAGCCCTCCTTGGATGAGTACAACCTGCCAAGGGGAGAAGCAGCAGCCGTTTGCTGCTGCTGCAGATGAGCAGCAGCAGCAGTAGCCAGTACACCAAGCTTTGTCACTGATGCTGCTAGTGACACTGCTGCTGCTGCTGCTGCTGCTGCTGCTGCTGCTGCTGTCGGATGTCGCGCCTCCAATGAAACAGAAACCGCTGCTTGCTGCTGCTGCGCGAGCATTCGCTGCTTCTGTTGCTGCAACCGCAGCATCTTTTGCTGCTGCTGCTGCTGCTGCTGCTGCGTGTCGTGCGCGCTGCTGCATCTCCCGCAGCATAAATTTGTTGAAGACGAAATGGCCTGCAGCTCCTCGCTGCAGTTTCCTGTGCCGGCTGCTGCAGCGAAAGCGTAAGGTCTATGGAGTTTGAAAACAGCAGCGACTGAGGCGCTGTGCTAAAAGCTGACAGCAGCAAAGAGCAAAGCCGCTGCTCCTTCTCCAGCAGCTTTCGGAACTGCGCAATTTGCTGCGGCTTCATGTGCTGCTGCTGCTGCTGCAGCAGCTGCTGCTGCACTTCGAGCAGCTCGGGGGGCGACGCGTAGCCGCTGCTGCTGCTGGCGCCGCTGCTGCTGCTGTCTGCTGCTGCTGCTGCTGCTACCCTCACCTCCCCCACGTCCACGCCCGCAGGGGAGCAGCAGCCAGCAACACGGGGGCCCCCGGGGGCCCCATTGTAGAAGACCAGCCGCTGCAGCTCGAGAGCAGCAGCAGCAGCAGCATCTGCTGCTGCTGCGTGCTGCAGCAGCTGCGAGTCTTCCCATTTCCAGCAGAAAAGGGGGACAAGCCGCAGCCCCTCCAGAGCAAAAACTGGCAGCGGATCCAGGCCCTCGTCATCTTCTTTTGCTGCTGCTGCAGCAGCAGCAGCAGCAGCAGCAGCAGCAGCAGCAGCAGCAATGTCGGGAAGGGCCCCTGCTGTTGTCTTCTCCGTAATTACACACAAGTAAACCCCACACAGCAGCTTCACAGCGCCTAAGAGCCCAAAGGCTTTGTAGGCAGCAAAGCAGCAGCAGGGGCTTTGGCCGCAGAGGCCTCTCTTAGCAGCAGCTTCTTTGCTGCTGCTGCTGCTGCTGCTGCTGCTGCTGCTGCTGTCGCTCGCAGCTGGGCTGTAGGCGTCGCTCCTCTTGCTGCTCGCCACTGCTGCAGCCTCGTCATGCTGCTGCTGCTGCTGCTTCTGCTGCTCACGCTGGGTCCGCAGCAGCAGCCTCAGGAAGTCTGCGTTGTGGCGCTGCTGCTGCTGCTGCTGACAGAACTGCTGCTGCTGCTGCTGCAGCAGCAGTTTCGCCGATTCGAAAGCGCAAGCCGTTTGCAGGCAATGCTGCTGGTAAGAAATCACGCCCTCGTCTTCTTCGCTGTTGATGCTGCTGCCGCTGCTGCTGCTGCTGCTGCCGCTGCTGCTGCTGCTGCTGCTGCCGTCCGAACAGCTGCTGCTCTTGTCTGCTGCAGCTGCTGCACTGAGCACCGCCTTCTTAAGAATCAACAGCCGCCCATAGCAGCCGCAGCTGCAGCTGCAGCCCTCGCTTGGGCCATTTGGGCGGGCAGCAGCAGCAGCAGCTGCTGCTTGCTGCTGCTGCTGCTGCTGCTGCTGCTGCTGCGAATTAAGCGCGAGGAGACAAACTTTGTCCGGAAGCTCGTAGACTGTTATCTCCGCCACGGGGGGCCCCATAGTGAGCAGCAGCAGCGGCCCCACACCCACTGAAGCGCGAGGTGTACATACACCCGAAAATGCCACGAAGACACCGCGGAAGCAAAGACAGACAAACCTGCTGCTGAGGAAGGGCTGCTGCTGCTGCTGCTGCAGACGCAGCAGCTGCCGGTGCTGCTGCCTGCTCGGCTCCCCCTTGAACCTTCAACTGCTGCTGCTGCTGCTGCTTCTGCTGCTGCGGTGCCTCTGGAGTTTGCGGCAGCGGCTTGCCTTCTCTAGGGGGCGCAGCAACTCCGAGTTAAAAGTAATTGATAAGTGGTCAGAGGCGGGCTCTAGGGGATCCCACAGAAGAAGAGAAAGCCTCAGGGAAGCAGCAGCAGACACCGCGAGCTGCTGCTGCTGCTGCTGCGGCTGCTGCTGCTGGCGTCGAGGGGGTTGTGCTAGCGGTGGCTGCGGGTTTGGGGCTAAGTGTAGGCTTTTGCTGCGCTTAAAAAGGGGAAATTGACTCAATTTGACAATAAAAGTACAGTTAAGTTGCATTTAATCTCGAAGAACTAGCGACAAAGGACGAAAGGCAGCAGCAGCAAGCTGCAGGGGCCCCGGGCTGCTCACGAGTTGGCTGGGGGCTGAGGCAGCTGCTTCTTCGTGTTGCTGCTGCTGCAGCTCCCTGGGCTTTGTTTGCGTCGTTTCTTTTCTGGAAATTAAAATTAAATCAAATTAAACAAATTAATTCAATTAATTACCTCTTTGCTGCAGTCTCAACCCTCTCCGGGGACTCCGCACTCCCCGCGCCTCCCCCGCCTGCCTGCGCGGCGCCAGCGGGGGCTCCTCTTTCTTCTTTTTTCTCGTTTTTTTCTCTATTTATTTTCTTTATTTTAACTCATTTATTAATTCAAAAGTAAGTCTAAAGATTCCTCATTCCCCTGGTCTTCACGGGCCCAGCAGCAGCTCCTGGGCAGGCGTGCATGCAGCTGGGGAGGCAGGCGCCGTCTATTGGTTTCGGGGGTCCCCTGGGGGCCCCCGGAACCTTTGTTGGTGTTGCTGCTGCTGCTGCTGTTGCTGCTGCTGCTGCTGCTGCTGCCGTTGCTGCTACGGCTGCTGTTGCTGCAGCTGCTCCTGGCGGCTGCTGCTGTCGCTGCTGGTGCTGGTGAAGCTGAGGTTCGCCGCTGCTGCAGCTGCTGCTGGCTCCTGCTGCTCCCGCTTCTGGCTGCTGCTGCTGCTGCTGCTGCTGCTGCAGCTGCAGTGTACGTACAGCGCGAGCTGCTGCATGCACTCAGGCCCAGGCATTATGGCGGCAACAGACGGGGATAAGGCGGCGCCGCATTTGGTGAATAGGGACAACCCAGTGGGTCTTTTTTATTTTATTTATTTATTTTATTTATTTATTTATTTATTTATTTATTTTTTCGAACTTCTCATTTGTTTCTGCTTTAAATTCTGTCTTTAAATCAATTAAAATGCATTTAATTCTCCAAAATTTGGTTTTAAATTTCAATTTTTATCCAAAAAGTTCTTTTCTAGATGCTTATAAAGACACATATGCTCGCCAGTGTCTGCGTTGTCTTAGATGCATGCATTTGTTTTATATATATATATATACCGCTGATCAGCAGCAGCAGCAGCAGCAGCAGCAGCTGCTGCTGCTGCTGCTGCTGCTGCTGCAGCAGCGGCCGCTGCTGCTGCTGCCGTGTTGTTGGCTGGTGCTTCTGCATGCTGGCAGCCTGCACTCTCTTCTGGTGTTGCTTTTGCTGCTGCTGCAGCAGGGTGTTAGCTGCTGCAGCAGCAGCAGTGTGTTTCCCTTGCTGCTGCTGCTGCTGCTGCTGCACCTCCCGCTGCCACTGCCGCCCCCGCTGCCACTCCCGCTGCTGCTGCTGCTGCTGCTGCTGCTGCACCATGCCGCCCCCAAGCCCCTCCCCAAACGCCCCGCCCCCCCCGCTGCCGCCGCCGCTGCTGCTGCTGCTGCTGCTGCTGCTGCTGCTGCTGCTGCTGCTGCAGGAGGGGGGCCCGCTGACGCTGCTGGCGCGGTGCGTGCTGGACAACAGCCAAGTGCTGGTGAACTGCCGCAACAACCGGAAGCTGCTGGCGCGGGTGAAGGCCTTCGACCGGCACTGCAATTTGCTGCTGACGGACGTGCGGGAAATGTGGAGCGAAGTGACCCGCGGAGGCGGCAAAAAGAAGCAAAAAGTGGTCAACAAAGACCGATTTATTTCCAAACTTTTCCTCCGCGGAGACGCAGTCATTCTCATTCTCAAAAACCCCAAATAATTCTCGAAAAACGCGCCAAAACGACCCCAGAATCGCCCAAACCCTAAACCCTAAACCCTAAACCCTAAACCCTAGCTCCCACAACCACGCCCGCACACCTCAGTTGTCAAACCCTTTCCAAACTCTTCCGGGGAAAACCGCGTTTGCATCTGCGGAAAACCGAGAATGCTAACTTCTAAACCCTAAACCCTTTTTTAGGGTTTTAGGCCGCGCAAGCCACGTCTTCAAACCCTTCTTAGCTTCGAAGTGCGCCACAAACCCTAGCCGACTATACGCCGCACAAACCCTAAACCCTCATTTAGCGCTTAGCTGCTGCCACGCACACCCTGCAGCCTAAACCCTTTTTTAGTGGTTCACAAACCCTAAACCCTAATTTGGGGTTAAAGTAAAGTACAGCCCCTAGCCGCTCTTCTAGGGTTTTGTTCAAGATCTAAATACACACACATTGCCAACATATTTAAATAATAATTCTGCATTAAGAAATATAAATTGTTTTTTATGTTTTCTGTTTTGTTTAAAATTAAAAAAATTATTTAAATGAAATATATTCTGTCTTTTCTCAGGTGTACGTACACTGCTGGGAGTGCATGCGCATTTCTGCAGATTGCGTTTAATCATTATTTACTAAAATGTATTTTAAAAAGTTATTCTAAATATGCATTTACAAAGCTAAATACATTTAAGAAGTCAGGCTGCAGCAGCAGCAGCAGCTGCAACAGCAGCAGAACTAGCAGCAGCAGCAGCACTAGCAGCAGCTGCAACAGCAGCAGCAGCAAGCGGCACTATCAGCAGCAGCAGCAGCAGCAGCTGCAACAGCAGCAGCCGAACTAGCAGCAGCAGCAGCACTAGCAGCAGCTGCAACAGCAGCAGCAGCAGGCGGCACTATCGGCAGCAGCAGCAGCAGGCGGCACTACCTCCAGCAGCAGCTGCACTAGCAACGGCAGCAGCAGAAGTAGCAGCAGCAGAAGCAGCAGCAGCAGCAGCAGCAGCAGCAGCAGCACTAGCAGCAGCAGCTGCTGCACATTTATAAAATAAATATTTGAATAGAAATGACGCAGTGGTGAGAAGTTCACAGAGGCTGTCGAAACACTGCAGACAAAACGGCGAAAGACAAAATGCGCAGCAGCAGCAGCAGCAGCAGCAGCTGCTGCTGCTGCTGCTGCTGCTCCTGGTGCGCTGGCTAGTCCTAGTGTTCCTGCTGCTGGCGTTGTTGCTGCTGCTGCTGTTGCTGCTGCTGCTGCTGCTGCTGCTGCTGAAGCGAACAACAAACATAAACTCGGAAGGCACATGAAGAGTCTCTTCCACCTGCAGCAGATAAGCTACGCAGCACTTGCTGCACTAGTTGCTGCAGCAGCTGCTGCTTGTTGCTGCTGCTGCATTGGCTCCGTCAGGGCTGCAGCAGCAGCAGCAGCAGCAGCAAACAGCAGCCACAGTCACTGGGGGCACAGTTGCCGGGGCAGAATCAGCAGCAGCAGAGGACGCGGCAGCAGCGAGAAGTCCTGCTGCTGCTGCTGCTGCTGCTGCTGCTGCTGCTGCTGCTGCTGGCTCATATATCCACTGGAGAGACGTCTTTGAGATGTGTGAAGACATCTCGTGCTGCAGCAGCAAATGGCAATCACAAACCCTAAACCCTAAACCCTTGACTCCACGTCCCAAACCCTAAACCCTCTAGCTGATTATCTGGCTGAAAAACCTACCGAGGTCTTCGAACAGCCGATTCACGTTTTGCCCCGTCTGCAGCACACATCCTAAACCCTAAACCCTAAACCCTAAACCCTAAGCACTAAACCCTAAACTCTAAACCCTAGGACGAGATGGCCAAGCATTATAAAACTACTCCAGCTGCACTCGCTGCAACAGCAGCACAACAGCTCGTTGTCCTTGTGGCTCCTTTTCTTGCTGCTGCTGCTGCTGCTGCCGCAGCTCGTGCTTCATTTGCTGCTGCTGCTGCTGCTGCTGCTGCTGCTGCTGCTGCTGCTGCTGCTGAAGTTGCTGGGACGGACCTTTGCAGAGCACTCGATGAAAGCGAAATGATTTAATGCGCAGAACTTCTTCACTTCCTAAAAAGCAAGGCCGAAGCTTCAAACCCCAAACCGTAAACCCTAAACCCTAAACTCTAAACCCCAAACCCTAAACCCTAAACCCTAAACCCTAAACCATGTGCTGAGCGCACCTCGACGCCCCGCTTAACATGGGCCAAATCCTTTTTGTACTGCTCTGCCTCGGCCTCCGCTTCCGCAGCAGCAGCAGTATCAGCTGCTGCTGCTGCTTCCTGCATCTGCTGCTGCTGCTGCTGCTGCTCAGGGGCCCCCTCAGAGGGGCCCCCCAGCAAGTCGCACTTATTTGCTGCTACAGTAATGCTGCAGTGGTCGAGGTGCTGCCGCAGCTCTTCAGTCCAAAACTTAACGGCTTCCAGGGAGGACGGCGCCCTGCAGCAGCAGCAGCAGCAGCAGCAGCAGCAGCAAAGTCAGCAGCAGCAGCAGCAGAAGCAGCAGAAGCAACAGGCTCATCAGTTGTATAATCACAGCACTCGTTTGTAGCTGTAGGGGGATAAAGGCAAGCAGCAGCTCCTGCTGCCTCGGCAGAACAACAGCAGCAGCAGCGGAAGCAGCAGCAGCAGGAACAGAAGCACCAACAGAAGCAGCAGCAGCACCAGCAAAAGGATCAGCAGTAGCGAAAGCAGCAGTATTATTAGCAGCACCGCCATCAGCAGCAGCAGCAAGAGCAACAGCAGCACACCAGCAGCCGTAGAAGCAGCCACAGCAGCAGCAGCCACAGCAGCAGCAGCAGCAGCAGCAACAGCAGCAGCAGCAACAGCAGCAGCAGCAGCAGCAGCGGTAACCTACGTAATGTCGTAAACGACGACAGCTCCTGCAGCATCTCTGTAGTACAAAGGAGCCATCGCGCGGAAACGCTCTTGGCCCCCAGTGTCCCAGATGTGCAGTTTGATCTGGTTACCTGCAGCAGCAGCAGCAGCAGCAGCAGCAGCAGCAGCAGCAGCAGCAGCAGGTGCTTGCGGCAGCGCCAAGGGCTACACGTGGAAAAGCAGCAGCAACGGCAGCAAGCAACAACAACAACATCACTACCAGTACTAGCAGCAGCAGCAGCAGCAGCAGCAGCAGCAGAATCAGCAGCAGCAGCAGCAGCAGCAGCAGCAGCAGCAGCAGCAGCAGCAGCAGCAGCAGCAGCAGCAGCAGCAGAAGCAGCAGCAGCAGCAGCAGCAGCAGCAGCAGCAGCAGCAGCAGCAGCAGCAGCAGCAGCAGCAGCAGCACCTTGTTCGAAGCGGACAGTTTGCTGCAGAAAAGCAGCACCAATGGTCACTTCGTGGTAAAGGGGAAAACGGCCGCGGCAGAAGCGCAGCGCCAAACTGCTTTTGCCCACGCCGCTGTCGCCCAGCAGCACCTGAAAATAATAAATAAATAAATAAATAAATAAATAAATAAATAAATAAATAAATAAATAAATAAATA